AGAGGGGAAGGGAGGCAGGTGGTGGTGGACGAGGTCGAGATGGGTCTCGGCATTGGCGAACTGGAGGAGGGCGGCGCCAGTGGCGCGGAGGGATCGGAGGTAGACGGAGTGCGCAGCGGCAAAGGCCCGCCGCCCCAGCACGAGCTGCTTCATGTATCGCCGCCGTGCTTTGCACCGCGACACCACTTCCTTCCTCTCGAGCCTCGAGTGGCAACACCCCATCTCCCCTCTCTCACCAGAAAGCCGCCTCCTTTTACTCTCTCTGATCGACGCCAGCCACCGCCTCGTCCTCCTACCTATACCACCACTACCGCTACAACCTACGCTTCTTGTCGTTTGTGAGCCTTCCAACACAAATGTGGTTCCTTTTTCCACTACAACGGAAGACAAAAGCCTACACCTTTCCTCTTCCTCTTCGAGCAAACCTCGGAATATACTTAGCAGGGACGTTGTGTCTCCGCAACGAGCCTCTTAGCTTTCTTCCCTGAAAGAAAGCTTATAGCATCTCCATGGCAACAAAGCGTATCAAATCACCCGTGGAAGAAGGTTCAAAGAGCGCCCTCTTCCTTGCGAAATCTCCCCTTTCTCATACTGCTCGGCTAATCTCAAATCCCCCGAAGCCCTTTTTCTCCTTGCAACAAGAATGCACACAGAGCTTCAAATTTTTTTTTTTGGCCTTCCAACCTTTTCAGCTTCTCCTCATCTGTGCAGTATCCAGCTGCGTCGCTCTCTCTTAAGCACAATGGTGGAGAAACGGAGGCACTCGAGAAGCAGAGTAACAGTCGGAGAAGAACTGAGACATTTGACTCGGTCGGGGAGCGTGCAAGAGACTGGTCCAGCGGGGCTATTTTTACCGTATTGCCCCCACCTCCCTCGATCCTGGCTCAGAAAACCTTTTGCTGTCAGCCGTCGGATGAGGGGTATTAGCGTCAATATACTCGTTCCAACGTTCATGTGCCAAATTTAAAGGGCGGGCGTCTCGTTATTGTGGGAGATCAGATGTGGGCAGTTTTGGTATTTCGTAGCTAGCTTGGGTTATTGTTCTTTTCGGGGAGGTGTGACAGCGGAAGCAGGAAGCAACTTAATATAATATTCTAATAATCCAATATTATGATCCACAAAAGCTTTAAAAAACACAAAAATAAAAACAAATAATTAATTAATTCCATCTAAGCTTAAATAGTACATGGAAATTATTTCGTATTGGCATCAACGTGATGGTGACATGGCATTAAGTTGTGATCTACGTAGGATGATATAGATTAAACGAATAGGTATCTGAATTCAGAACTTTTCCTAGATGACAAAATTCAAAATTTAGGAAACCTATTAATCACATTTGAAATAAATCGAAATATTCAAAAGGTATATATAGTTGGATTCGAATTCAGTTGTCAATCCTAGATAATTACTGAGTTAGATTTTGGTTGGATATTCACGTATATTCATCTTCATCCAGTGGATTAGGAAACTTTTTTCTACTTAGCAAATCTTTTATATACGTGAAGAAGATTCATCAATTTTTGAAGGTATTTATAGTGTTTACGATGTTAACGAAACCTACATTTTGAATGGTATTTAGAAAATTAGATGTTTTTAATGTGAGTTCGACGGGGTTTAATATAATTTATATATGGTGAATATCTGAGAAAAGTTTGAGCTTTCTGCTTCGATTTTAACAAGTAATTTTTTAATCTAATAATCTATTATCTTTTTCACTCTTTTTTTTTTTCTATGAATCAATTAAACTATTGTTTTGTAATACTTTCAATAATATCAGGAAACACTATGACACAAATAAAAACACTTTTATGTTTTCTAGTACGTTAACATAATTACTCGATAAGCATGTCCAATTTACTTAATTAAATATTAAAAATAGGGTTATTAGTATCAATCACCCATATCTAAAGCTTAATCCGCAACATTCAAATTCGATTCAAAAAATATTCCGATTTAGGATAACAATACCTCAATTCGTCTCTCTCGCGTGCAACCGTAGCTTTCCATCGGGGATTTCTCAACAACAAAATATATAAGTCTCAAATTAATCCATCTACAACATCAACATGGATGCATAAAACATGCTAACTTATTATTGGTGAAGGTTGAGCTCGAGACATGGCTATGAGGTTACACGGAAGACTCTACATATGTGCACATACATGTGCTACAGTGGCCAAAAAGGGTCATCAAGATGGGAAGCTGATGCTTCTCGTTGTTGCTTGGCAGCGTCTGCTTCCATCCACCAAAAAAGGGCATCGGAGTAAGGGGTTTAGGCATACAGGAGGCCGGAGGAGAGGGCCATGAGAAGGACGGCGGCCTCCTCTTCTTCCCCAAGCATGCTTCTCCTCCAGCCCATCCTCCTACTCTGCTTCTGGATCGTGGATCTGTGTTCCCACAACCCCAGCATCCGGAGCTTGAGAGGCGCCCCCACCTCAATCTTCTCCTTCTTCGACCCCGGCGCAGCGACTCTTCTGTTCTTCCGGTACCGGATACCACACGCGTTGCAGAGCGACTGAAATCAGACATCGGGAATCAGCAAATCAACCAAGCAGAGAGCTCTATCCAAGAACAGAACCAGATCGGTAAGTACCTTGGGACCGGAAGGGCCGGCTCGCCAGAGAGGGGTTCTGGTGGTCCGGCAAACCGCGCAGCTCTTCGTCGGGCAATCACTGCTACTTGGATCCGCAGATCCCGCAGACTGCAGGCCGAACCGAAGCAAGAAACGTATGAGTCACCCGAACACGAATCGATCGACGCCAAAACACAACATCGAAAGAAGCACAAGGAAGCATACCATCAAGAAACTTGGATCATCCATCCTACCGAAGCAATATACGAGTGGCAAGATCACTGAGATCTGCTGCTGCGGTTGCGGCTACTGCAACTTGGTCTATCGAGATCTCCACCTTCGATCTCTGACCGCTGTAAGGAAGGGAAGAAAGGATGCTCCTCGGAGTTCCTCGAATGGATCTCGCGAGAGGGGGGAGGGAAGAATGGAGGGAAAGAGAAAACGGTGGAGGGAACGATGAGCCAAAAAGCGGCATTTATCGTCGTTAACTGGTTCAGGTTAACCAACAAGCTTGCGGTGAACCGAGCAGATTTCATGATGGCTTGTTTAAGGTGCGTCGGGGGAAAGGCTTGTGGCGCACGCTACCGCGGGGGAGTAGAGGAACAGCATTATTTAAATCCTCGTGCAGGCGTATTTTACCGCATCGACCAATACGGTGAGAACAGCCGGGGATACGAAGTGCTGCGCCCAACAGCGGCGTGCCTCTCGTGGATGACGTGGCGCGTATTGGCCCCGAAAAAGTGGGGTCGAAGCGTCCTGGGATCTCGCGTTGTAGGCGGTGCGGTGGTCGAGGGGGTTTGCTGCCGGACATGTTCTAGCGGATCCTGCACCGCCGCCACGCCGCGCCTCCCTCGCGGAGCGAGCGGCGGCGGGCGGAGGAAACCCTAGAAAGCATGAAAAAGTCCTTAAATGACCAAACTGGCCTTGTCTTAATTGTCCAGTTTCCAAGACAAAGCGGCGTTTCGGTCATTCCAGAAGCCTAAGCTTCCACGCGAATGGCACGTGATAGTAAGGGGACGAGACTCCACGGCAACCATTGTGGGTTGGCGCGGTTCGAGTCGGTTCAGGTCGACCGTCGGGTTCAACCGGGCAAATTTTGATGCTGATTGATCAACTCGGCGTCAACTGAACTCAACCTTAATAAGACACATGCACCCAAAATAGTACACATAAGAAAGATGGAAAAGAGATAATAATTCATCTCTGAACGAGAGATGGGCTTAAATCAGTATGATCGAGAGGTGTCTAAATGATTTGGGCATCACAATTTAAGGTAGATTTCATATAATTATTTTTTAAAAAATAAAAAAATTAAAATGTATTTTAATTTACATGAGCACTAATTTATCCTATGTGAGTGGCATTATCAATTCTAATAAAATATTTCTTTTTTTTTTTTTTTTGGAAAGGGGAGAGACCGCTTAGCTCTTTATTCTCTACGGATGATTTTTGTACACATTTGCTTTAATCCTCAATGGGTATATTTTTCAACATAATAATATTTGAACAATACTTATGTTTATAGATTAAATAAAAAAATTATTTATCGACAAAACTTGATGCATAATTGTCGGCTTGATAGAAAATAATAAAACATAATAGAGTATCACATTAACTAAAATTAAAATTAAAATTATTTTATGAATATTTTGATCATACGGTTTTTGCCATTGTAAAGAGCTCCCATCTTATTACTACTACGCTTAATCCATCTTGAAATTTTTTAACCTACAATTTTGTTTGGAGACAATCTTAAGAAATATCTCAGTATAGGAATAGAGACGTTGAAGTTTGGGTACACTTTTCCATTCTTATCATACGATATGACATCAACAATCAATTAGGAAGACGTTCTTATGTTCGAATTACCTATCAAGTTGGGTCGATATTTTACTTTGGCATACGTCATCGACACCATAACCTAACACATGTCATCTCTTTATAAATCGTTGTCTATTTAAAATATAGTCGTCAATCGAAAGACAAATCAGTTTTGACGTCTATAAACGGATTTACCTAAATATCGTCAGTGACTATGACCGTTGGATGAGGATACTCTGTAAGCATGTTACGGTAACCCCTCGGTGACGACTCCCCAAGACACCGAACCCGCGACTGGGCCGGACATAACACCGGTTTGAGGAACCGGTGATCGAAGTGGGTGCTTGGATCTTAGCAAGGGCCATGTTCACCTCTGGGTGGGCCTCAGCTGAACCGGCCCATCGTGGTGGCAGAATGTGATATGCCGATTTTGCCCTCGAGAAACCCTAGATGGGAACAGACTTGCGTTTACGCATTTTGCATCCGCCGCCTCGTTTCTTCACCTCCTTATCCCTTGCACTCGCGACGTAGCACACCACAAGCCCAAGGAGAAGAGAGGCGAAGGAGATGGTGTCGCTGAAGCTCCAGAAGCGGCTCGCCGCGAGCGTCCTCAAGTGCGGCAGGGGGAAAGTGTGGCTCGACCCCAATGAGGTCAACGATATCTCCATGGCCAACTCCCGTAAGAAGCTCTCCTCCTCCCGCCTTGTGGCCGCCACTCTGCCTCGCTAGTCTCCGATTCGATCTTGTCCTCTGCTCAATTCTTCTCGTTATTTGGATCCGAGATGAGCTTCGGGATTCTAATCGGAGAGGATCTTGACCTTGTCCTTGTTACGAATTGATAATTATGAAGTAACATTTTTCCTGAAACATATGAATTTTTGTCGGCGATTTATTATCGTTATCGTCACTTGCTGAATATTATCTTAATTTTCATTGTCTTTCGTGAATACCATTGATTTGTCATCTGCAAGTGCTCGTTGGAAGTCTGCTTTAGCTAAGTCATCAAGTTTCAACTTGAAATGCGCTGTTTAGGAAGAATAATCGAATTTAATTTGCTTTGCGTGCTGACGTAATAGTCAAAGTTGGAATTCTTGATTATTGCGTATTAGGATCATGGGGCATGCATGGACGCTTGTTGTTCGATGATACTACTAGATGTTATTGATGAAACTAATCTCCATAGGCAGGGTTCTTGATTTTTATCCTTCCATTCATGTTCCTTTCTTTTTTTTTCCTTGACGTCTCAATCTTGTCAGATGTCTTAGCTTCACATGATTTGTGTTGGATACATGCAAGCCCCAGAAATGTGATCTTTAGTCTTTCTTCGTGGTGCTGCTATGAGTTGCTACAGATGCAGTTGATTTTGGTCATCGTATCCAGTGTTACTTGTTTACCGGTTCCAACTCCATTTTCAAAACATTTTTTTGCTGGCAGCTTTACGAAAAGTTGGTAGGCAATAGCTGTGACGAACTCTTTAAGAACCAGACATCTTGGGTGTTTGATACTCTTCGATGAATCCGAAAGATGATTTGATGTGCCTTTGCTGTGATTTCATTAGTACGGTGGACCGAGAACAGATAGTGAGAGACTGATACGAGGAACTTGATAGTTCTTGGAGAACAACGAACCCAGACACGGAAGAGGGTTAAGGCCCTTGGTCAAAGATCTTTTATCATAAAAGACCGGTAACATTTGAACAAATCTTTTTATTGGGTACTAAGATTATCGATATAGGGATTCGATAGTACTTGGAGAACAAAGGAAAGAGAAAGAGAAGAGGATTCAGGCTTTTGGTGGAAAAACTATTTCATCTCAAAATAACTGACATTGAACAGATCGTCCATGGGAGACTAACCTTGTTGTAATTCGTCTTATTCAGGAACTGTTAGCTGACTAGATTTCTGTCCCTTTAACTATTATTTTTAGATGAACTTGGGTCCTTGTAGAATATTGTGCGGTGGACTACCACACCCAGCGGAGCCTGCTCTTTATATTAGTTGTTGGATATAGGATATCAGCCAAAATCAACAAAGACATAAATAAATCAACATATTCATTGTGTCGATATGACTTGATCCTTACCTACTTACATTGTAACACACATTTTGGTTGACTGAGGAGAATATGACAATAAAAGGTTAGGGATGTGAAAAACAATGGGGAGTTAGTGTTTTGTAGACGGTAGCACAGAATGTCTGTGCTATCACAGAAACAGGGGAGACTATTAAATTGGATAATAGCCATTGCCATTCTTGTCATGCCTCTGTTACTGCCTTTTCTCCCTGCCCTAAAATCAATATTAGAGTGCGGAGAAATAAGGTTGGTGCTCTAACGTCCTTGTGCTTAAGCATTTCATTGTATCGACTGTTGCCCATAAAAAAATGATCCAAACAAGTCATGGTCACTGATAATGGATTATGATGGTTTTGCATTGCAGGCCAAAACATTAGAAAGCTTGTCAAGAATGGTTTTATTATCAGGAAGCCCACCAAGATTCACTCGCGGTCTCGTGCAAGGAGGGCACTGGAGGCAAAGAGAAAAGGGCGTCATTCCGGATACGGTATCAATGTTTATTCTAGTTCATCTTGATTTGACATTCTTTTTATGGATCTTTCTCATTTTATAGGGAAGCGCAGGGGCACAAGAGAAGCTAGGCTCCCAACCAAGGTACTTTGGATGCGTAGGATGCGAGTTCTCAGACGGCTGCTGCGGAAGTACCGCGAGTCAAAGAAGATTGACAAGCACATGTACCATGACATGTACATGAAGGTGAAAGGTAATGTTTTCAAGAACAAGAGGGTGCTGATGGAAAGTATTCATAAATCCAAAGCGGAAAGGGCAAGAGAGAAGACCTTATCTGATCAGTTTGAAGCTAAACGAGCCAAGAGCAAGGCTAGCAGAGAAAGGAAACTTGCAAGGAGAGAGGAACGCCTAGCTCAGGTATGATCAAGTTTTTCTTGTGTGTTCCTTTGCTTATCATATCACATGCAACTTATTAGAGTTGTTCTTGGTTACTATGCTTGTCCTCTCACTTATGTTTCTTTGATGGTTTCAAATTCTAAATGAGCTAAATTTTGGGGGTATCCTACTTAATCCAGACTGTTGCTCTTCTTTCTATGCATCTTTGAGGTTAACTTAACTAAATTCAACTTTGTAGGGACTTAGTGGTGTATCTGTTTTCCTCTATTTGGTTTTGTCAAAATTGTAGAAATATTTATTCGTTCGATTATATAAGCTGTAAATGATTATTTCAAAGGAAAATTTCATATGATGAAACTTTTTTGTTTCTTTGGTTTCTATGGTTAAATTTTCTGAAAATTTGATCCTTTTCAAGAACTTGTTACTTATTAGTTTGTGAGGGGGCAACCAGTAATTCGGTTCACTGTTACCTCCAATTTTTTTATCGATAGGCATTTTAGAGGTCTCTGCTGTTGTTTCTCTAATGCATTGGTAATAAATAAATATGTAGTGTAACATGTTCTTATAATTCCTTCATTCTGTTGGTTCCGTATGCAAACAGGGGCCTGGAGACCGCATAGTTGCCACACCTGCTGCTATAGCAGAGTAAGGGATCCTTCTATGCAATTTTATTTAAAGCTCTCTTGGGCTTATATGCTCCTGAACCTGATGGTAATTACATTTATCATGCAGAGCCCCTAAGAAAGCAAAGAAGTAATGGAAAAGCTTTAGTTGCGGAATAGGTACAAGCTGCTAATGGTTCCTCCCTCCCTTCTGTTCTGCTTTCAAAACTATGCACGCCGCAGAAAAGCCCAAGAAGCTTTCGTTTCAGTTATTTTTGGTTCATTTCAAAATCCTTGTTTTGTTTTGGAGTTGGATAACCATGTGCTCTACTAGTTTAAAGTAATTCTTTTTTTGTCACTTAATCTTACCATGGTAACTGTTATCTTGTGTGGTATTTCCTGCCTCCCCTCCTCACATGATTGTCTATGAAGTTAGCCAATGATTTTTAGATTTGCACATACGTATTATTGGTGAAATTTTGATCATGTTAGCACCACCAATTCCCTGCTTTATAGAATGAATGAAATTGTTGTAGAATGGTAGAAAAACAATGCCTGATTCGGTAAGAATTGTCTGCCTCTGGTTTTGTGAACTCTTGTCACGAGGGTACTGTCAAGAATTGGTCTACTCGTCAAGCCACTAAACTGAATGGCAAAAATGTCCCGAGTGTTATTAGCCAGTCTCCTTGATTTGACAATCTTTATTGACTATTATCGAGGCTACTTGATAGAAAATGAAGTTATCCTCCATTTTCTATAACGACCTACACAGGGTTGATAAAAAATCAATCGTCTGGAGTCATCTTTTAACAAACCTTCCTTAGGCTGACTCGTTCGATACTTTTATTGACTCGTTTTACATGGAGTTATCTTCTCTTTTATACTACGATCTACTTTGTATGCCGACCTACAAAGGTCAAATGTCACGAAACCACAAACCTCCCAACACCTATATTCTTCAAGTCTCATTTTCCTATCAACAGTTAAGTTACTAGAAATTTTAGAGATCGTGTAACCAAATCGCTGGTAACAGCTAATGGGTGTGCCCTAGATAGATAGCACAAAAAATTGTTGAATCAAACATATCTGTAGCAACAAGATAAATTAAAAAAAAAGGAAAAAAAATCCTCAGAAACAAATCCAACTACCCTCTGTTGAAAGCATATGCTTCATTCAAAGGGAACAAGTCAGCAGCTGCATAACACATCACGCCAAGGCATCTACATAACATTTCATAATGGTATGCCATTCTTCGGCTGTTAAACTTGCTTCGATGACATAGACACCAAGATGATTGAGCTAACACACCAAAAGGTTTATCGCAGAAGAGCCATCATCAGATTGGCATTGCAAGAAATGTGCAACTCGCAACTTTTAACCGAATTACCATTAAACAGACACTAGAAATGCAGTCCTCTGAAGTCGAAAATGTATAGATAAGAGTTTGGACATAAATGAGAAACAAAATGAACCTTCTGAATTTTGAAAATTAACCCACTAAGCAAGATAGACTAGAATGCACATCAGTCAATCTTCCTCTTCACCCTCGTTCTCTGCAATGTTGAAGTACCGCAGCTCATAGATGCTGCGGTCTTTGTTAGAAGCAATGACTCGAAGCCAATCCCGTACATTATGTTTCTTCAGATACTTCTTTGTCAGGTACTTTAAGTACCTGTTAAAATATAGAATGTAAGCCAAATGATCTTGTAGAAAAGAATAACAGATAATTGTACACTGCCATACGCAATGGGCAATAGTTACCAGACTACCAAACCAAGATTATTAGTTACAAATGTGCCCCAACATCAGTAGCGGCAACATATTGCAGTAAAATAGATGCAAAAGAAACAGTCGCAACAAAAGTATCAACCTCGACCAGCATGATAGGGTCACAAAATCGAACATTCAGAGAGATTCAAAAAGGCTGGACATCTTACGATGACATCTCAGATTCTTCGACACTGAATACAAATGAAGAAATTCATTTCAGTCAGCAAATTACTGAAAGTCATCTGAGAACCAAAAATAAAGACTTCGAAATGGAACCAATCTGGGATGTCTAACATAAAAGGTTCAAGTTTGTCTTCTGAGTTCAGACCCGAACCCGATTGGGGCTAAGACAGGTAGATGGTTGCCTCGAGAAAAAGGTTTCTCCTCTACCCAATACCGTTAGTCATGTTAGCGGATGTTAAAGCAGAATGAATAAGAAAATTCTTAATAGTTCTCTGATGTTAGGCAGTTGCTTCTTAGAAACAGTTCGCTAGTTAAGGTTCTGCTGTCGAGGTAGCATCAAATTGAGTTCATTAAGGCCATTAATCAATTTTCTTTCAGCTTGAAGAATTCAACAAGTCATGTTAATTACCACCCTAATAAACATGAAGGCATGTCATCAAAACTAGATGAATACACATATAACCGATTGGCACACACCACAAGTTGCTGCAAATCATCAAGATAATAATTTCAATTTCATATAGCAAGATGACAGTCTTATCACTTCACAGAACATATTTACCATTGCTAATTGTAATTAAAGATATTATGGACAACAAAAAAATCAATAAGCCTTTTATTTGAAACAAAAATCACAGATCTTGGAATGGAAACAAAGCAACATTCAGATAAACCTAAAAGCAAAAAAAAAAAGGGAGAATAAGAACGTAAGCACATTCAACATATGGGTAGCATTTACCTATGTGTTGGTCATCATTGTGAATGACTCTTGTATCATCAGTCTCAAATTTCCCCGCCACAAAAATGAAATGGCAGGTTACAGCTGCCAAATTTAATTCAACTTCTCTGAGAGCTGGGAAGAATTTTTTAGCCCCCATTGATCTTAATAAACAAGAAAAAAGTGCTAGACCTTAATCCGAGACTATTATCTATTTTTATGCATCGTTTCAATCCAAGAGACGAGCTTTCTTAACAAAATTGCCCTGTTAAATGACCAACACCACATAAAATTCGCACCCAACAGAAAACATCAAACTTGTGAGAAGTGGTTCACCACCAACTGTTGAAAAGCAGTTTCTCACTTCGGCGCTCCTTACGGTACTTCTCTAAGCCGATCAAACCATCATGGAAGTACCATAATCCTTGATCTAGAAAGCTAATAAGGGCAAAGCAAAGGGAATCCAAGCGATCCGACGGAGATGAGACACCGGGATTACCTCTTGGAGAAAGGACCCTCGGAGGTGACGGTGATCTTGCTCTTGTCTCGGGTGACGGTGACGGCGTCGCCGAGGGCGCCGGCCTTGCCGCCGGCCACCTTAATCCGCTCTTGGAGAAACTTCTCCAGCGAGGCGATGTCCATGATCTTGTCCTCCACCGGCTTCGCGCAGTCGATGACGAAGGTCGAACCTTTCTTCTTCCCGCCCTTCGCGGTAGCCGCCGCCGTCCCTCCGCTGCCCCGACGACTCATCCTCTCTATCGAAGCAAAAGCCGCCGCTCCTCTTGACGTTAGGGTTTCGGAGCGGCCGAGCTCATATTAGGTCCCTATTTATGTGAGGGACACGCGGCTCGTAGCCCTGGCCTGTTAAGATGTCCCGCGGTGGAAACAAACTTAATGGGCTACGCTTGCAATTATGTTGTTACCCATCCTATTTATGTTAGAGGGTACCCTCTGAAGCATTTTATGATTGAAATTTAAAAAATAGTTATAAAGTTCATTAGATTTTTTGGATATTATTAGTTAAAAAATGGATTACAATTTCTTTATAAAATTTTTAATTATGATTTAATATATAAAATCTTAGCATCATTTGAGAAGATCAAACATTTATCTTATTAGATAAAGGAACAACTATGGAATTATGCTTTGATGACTCAAAAAGATGACTTTTATTATATTAAGTTATTTTATGATTTAAAAAAATAACTAAAAAAACTCTAAAAATAAGCATGAGATTAATGAAGTAAAGATACACATTAAGGCAAGCTTAGAAATATTAAGGTTATGAACATCTAAACCTTCACCATGTTTAGGTTTGGTGATAGACTCCTAAGAAATGAGACATATATGTAGTAGACCTATCAAATTTTTGTCATAAGTTTAGGGGTGTTTTAACATTTATAGTCAAGTTTATAAGAGTGACCCCTAGTTGAGATAAAAAATAACATACCAAGTTTTTGTTGAATTTGTTAGTTAATACCACCAAAAGACATATGTAAGTAATGTTGTAGTTTTTGTAGGAGTTAGAGAACATTTTGGTAATGTGAAATATAAGCAAAGCAAAATTAATAAAATAGCAAGCACAATAATAAGGAATTGCAGTTTCTCCGGAGACAGACATACCGCTGTCGGATTCGCTGTGGGAATCCGATACCCATCCGGAACAAGCATGCCGAGTCGTTCCTCGTTTCGGATCGGATCGGGCGCTTCAAAAGCGGATCTTTGTCGAATTCGGATCTAACACCGCACCGTCGAAGACGGCCAATTCCTCGGCTATAAGTAGCCTTTCTCCCGGGCGGCTTCGGCCTCCTCCTCCTCCTCTCGCCGCCCTCTTTTCGAGACGCTAGGGTTAGCGTGATCTTATTTATAGGCGGAAGGATGTTGGTCTACCAGGATCTGCTGACAGGTAATGCGTAAGGATCTCTTCGATCGTAAGCATTTTGTCGTATGAAATTCAATCCGGAGACCTAACGGAAATTTTGCATCTTGGAAATCATAGTACAATAAATTAAGTTGTCGTATGAAATTGGTCTTCTTCCCTTTTTTACTTTGTTCTGATTTTAATTAATTGGCTTTGGGAAGCTTGATTGCCGCATCTTCTGTGTCATTTTTGTGCAATTTTGCTCATGTGTATGCTTATTGGGGTGAATTATCTTCAAGATCAGGCCGATAATGTATGTGGTATATGGCAGGAAATATACTTCTTTGTTTGAATTCTTTGAGAATCTGTATCCAGAGTCGATGTGCATGTTTTGGTTTGTTTTGCTTATTTTCTTGTGATATATTTTTTTGTAAATTATTTTCTATTTCTTTTATCTGTCTGTGGTTGCATTGTGATCTGAGCACTGCAGATCTTTGATCACGTAAGGTTGGTACACATTTCTTCAATTAGACCCAAAGGAGATCTGGCTTTGGCCATAATTATTGTTTGATCAACTTATGGAGCACTTAAGTTGTTTTTGAGTGTGGATGGGAAAATGGTTTGTGTCATGGTTTAGAAAATGATTCTGATTTATCAAAATTAGAATTCTGTTGATACTGATCTTGGACTTCAGAATATTTCCAGATAACCTCTTCTTTTCACCATTGTGACTATCGCTTATTGCTGTAGTTAAATATGTTCCATCTATTGTAGAGGTTCCCGGAGAACACTTGAATGAGTTGGGTGGGAGGTTCCTTGGAGCACATGCTGTTACCAATGTGTTTGATCACATGTATGTTCTTTCTATATAAGAACAACAATTTATGTCTGTTAGTGCTTCAGCAGACAGGAAAGACAG